ACCAAAACCTTGCCACGCCAACCCAACACAGTGAAATTGCCTTGATTTTTACCTTTAAAATGTGCTTAATCTATTAATTTGAATTACATTCTGTCAGGTACTGCATTACATGTATTTGGGAAATACTAAACAGAAGAAGGGTTCCACATTGGGAGGAGTTTTTAATCCATGAAACTAGATAATTTGGACTAAGGAGACTAAGGACACTTAAACAGTGCAACTATCTTCATAAACCACGGTTCACAGCACGGTTCACAGGAACTTCTGAAAAATCACTCCTCGAAGCAAGTTCTTTTACTTGATTCTATTATCAGCAAAAGGATTTTTTTCCTTGCAACTATGAATTTGCAGTAATGTCACATTACTCTTTAGACAGTGTTATGAGGTTATTTGAGAATACAATTGAAATAAGCAAATTTAATTTATCTGATGTACTGTCTGCCACCTTAATCACGGATCTGATTGTGCATCTAATATGATCAGTGGAATCCTTTACATTGATTTGGTGGTTAAGAAAACTGGGACTATTTTACATTAAAGTGAAATAAGTCTTTCAATTCATTTCAATCCAAACTGTGTAGCAATATTTAGGAAGACCATAGGTGCAAAGATTTTTAACAAGGTTGAATGGTATTTGTCTGTAAAACAGGTGAAAGGTTTGATGTTAAAGACATTTCCAATAGAGGAAATGATATTTACTAAAACCCTACACTACAAAATAGAAAACACAAGTGTTATCTGTTTATTCCAAAGTTTAATGGGTTTAAAGTTTTTATAGTTTATATTAACAGACAAAATAAATGTTCATTTTCCATCTTATTCAAGAAAATATTGTAAATTAGTAAATCAGTGATGACATAATTCAATATACTTTCAATGATTTTTATTTTTTTTTGCATATATTTTCCAAGGCAAGCACTGTAAAGTCTCCATTGTTCTTATCTCTGCAAAAGAGTATCTAGAGAAATGTGCCTGGCAAAGTAAGGGCCTTCTTAAAAACAGCGTCCAGGTAGTCCCAGAATGAATATGACCTCTAACTAATATGATATACTTAATATTCATGTCCTCCTTTGCAGCTGTGCTGATAACAGAATAAGGTTGGTCGTTTGCCAAAACTCGCTAACAATTTCAACACGCTATTTCAGCGATTTCAGGCAAAAGAGAGAAACTTTACTTACCACTGAAAACTAAGTCAGTCAGTTAAATGGCAAGTTTAATTGAGACCCAAGAAAAATTGGCTGAAATATACTGCTATTTTGTGTACTTTTTAATATTTAGATTAAAACATTAAATGCCCTCGTAGTACAGTTCTGCTCTTTAAGCTACTTCATAAACATAACTTAATAAACTCCACTTCACTGTTAATCAGGTCTGTATTAAATTTACCTTGTACCAGCCCCGAGCTCAGAAGGAAACCAGACATCCTGCTTACCAGGATGCCATTAAAACAGAAGTCTGTTGACACGAAGTTATTTAGGTATTGCCCATGCAGCCCTCTGGTGAACGTATGCTTCAGGGCTGTTTATACCGAAGCTCCATGAATGAAAGAGTACAGTTATGATTTTGTATATTCTTTTTTTTTCTTTACTGATCCACAACAGGCTTTAACATTTTTCCTTCATGCAGACTATTTTTCAGTTTGCTATTTCTGATTTTGATTTTTCTTTTTTCCTATCTGCTGAGTTTTAATGTTATTTCTGTTGTTAAGTATCTGAATCCGTATCAACATAGTTGTATTATATCAATGTAGTATGAAAACTGTTCAGACTCAACTACTCGGAAAATATCGGCTGAAAAAATTAACTAATAGCTGTTCTCGCTTTCTTATCTTATTCTCCAAGTTGTCTCTTTACTTTTAAGACATCTGTTTCATTTGTCTCCAGTTTGTTACTAGCTATTTTTACTTCCACTTTCTTAGCTGCCAGCACATTGTGCCAATGCATATATACACCAAGAATAGATTTTCCTTTTTTTTTTTTTTTTTTGGGGGGGGGGATTCATGTCAATAAGCATTCTTTAAATTAATGAAAACATTTATAACACCATTATATTAACTCAATTACAGGAACTGACAAATTCCAATATAATTTCATACTGCACAGAAAAAGTGTGTTATATGTTTTGCCAAATAGCTATTTTACTTCCCCTTATTAGGCACTAGGATCTTCCCCATTCAACCTTGTTTGTATTGAGGCTTACTGAGTATTTTTCATGGCTCAGTTCAAAACAGTGAAGACAATCTCAACATTGATTAATCATATTTCTAAAATACTGACATTTGTACAATAAAAGTATGGCTGTTTATGCACACAATGTAATTTTATCCATATATTCATAGACAATGGATTTTGCTTTTTTCCTTCCTCACTACTTTGCTGACAGGAAGCCAAAAATTGCAAGATTTTACTCAAATTAGCCACGGATATTAAAATCAATGGTAAAAATACTGTTTGTTTGGGTTTTTTAGCTGCAGTATCTGTATGAGATACATCTGCAAAACTAACCTGTGATCTAAAAATGCAAAAAACATCAGTCAAGTCTGACAAGACAATCAGACACTGAATTACTCAATTTGAATTTGAATTACAGTACGGCCAGCCCATTTAGGCTGTTAATACCAAAGATGCTGATTTCTTATTACCGCCATAAAACACAAGACACATACAAAAAAGCACATTAATTGACGGTTACAGAACTGTGCTAATATTAATAACACAGCCTGCCACATCCTTGTCATTTCATCCCACAAGGGCAGGAACTAAACCAACCGAGTACCCCAAATCCGCAGCTGATACGGTTAATCTGAAATAGAAGGCAGCATCCCTTGCACTAATTAAAATGGGGGGGGAGAGGGGGGAGGGAAACATCCTGACGATCCGATTCTGTAATCGCACTCCCAGAAGAAGAGAGCAGCATCTAGGAACTCTGCAGTATTTTTTTTTACCTCGCCCCAGATTTAAAGAGTGCCCTGTGCAATAACAGCTGCCTAAATTGCTACAAATTCCTGGAAGAAACATTTCTCTTTCATAAAAACAGCCCATACAATTTAATGAAAAAAATGAAATTCATTATCTGAAAAGAGTCTCGAGGCGCTACAAGGCAACACTGGGCCCCGGATATTTTTTCCCTGTACTCCTCCCGAGGCGGGGGCAGATCTGAACACTTCCAGTGAAAGCCCCAGAGACTGACACCAGGCTGCCTCTGCGGTGGGAGTTATCTGCACGCTCTCCAAATACCTCTCCAGATGTACAGAGCAACAGATGCCCAGCAAGGCTCCAGTTATAACGCTGAATGAATTCTTCATAACGCAGCAGGCTGAAAGCTTCCACTCTTGACAGAGAGGAGTTAGGTGGTTCCTTTACAATAGCACCCAAAGCCGCGGCGTAGCTGGGTTTACTGGGGCAATTTGGGATGACAGAATTTGGGGTGCCTCGCCTCACCATTTCTTGGGTTTCAGAAGGGTAAATTTAATTAGAAATTTTTCTCTAGAAAAAACACAGGCCACAACATGCAATCTTCTCTCCTCCTTAACACTTTTTAAAGTTACCTGTATTTTATAGTCAAGATTTTAAAATTCTACATTTATAATATGAAATAAAATATGAAAGAAACTATGCTTACAGAAACCTCACATTGCCAATCTTTGCAGTGGTCTTTAATTAATCAAGGAAATGATACCCCTGAGACTTGATCAACCTCCAATTTCTTTAAAGCATAAATATTAATGGCATTAAAAGCTTTCATTGTCTCAGTTGGAAAAATCACCACTACTAAACAGATATTACACATTTGTAGCTTGCCCTGACCATCATTTTTCTTAAGAAATACGAGGACATACCTGTATAAACACAAACTGATATTTTTCTTAAGAAAGCTGATGTTTCATTCCATTTAAAGTGTGTACTTTGATATATGATAAATGTTATGCTTATTAGAATTTTCAATTTTATTTGCATAGCTAGTGTACTGCTAGTTTAGGCAAATTAACAATCATATATATATACACACACACACCCCGAAAATATGGTAGCAAACAAAAGTGTCATTTGATGATGAACTCTCTAAATGTATTACTGTGAACAGTCCATCTTAAATTCTTTACATTTTACAAAACTGCATAATTTGAAGTATTTGGGGCACCCGCTGTTGGGCAATATTGCCTGTTTTCTTATTTTATACAGTGTAGTCTACCATCTGTGCTGAAGTCCTAGGGTTTATGGAGCATGGAAAAAGCCTGCTGTCCTAAGCCCTAAATTTTCTGCTGCAACAGAAAAAACACAGAATTTTATTTTTTTTTAAAAAGCGGGGAGGGGGAACATCAATGTTTAACATCGAATGACCTGGATAATGATGCAGAAGCAGCAAAGACATTGTCTTGTTTCAGCACAATTGGTTCCTCCAATATATATATAAAAGCTCTCTGAAAAGTTAATTTTGCTATCGCACAAAGGTGTTGGTGCATTACCAAATGAGCAATGCCTGACCGTTTTGATCAACAGGAATTTGTAAGGAAATCTAATTGAGCAAGTGGGAGAAGGAAAGTTTACTTTGATCTGTTGAGAAAATTCATGCTGGAAAGTCTTGATTAACCCATATTTTCTTTGGTGGGACGTGCAGCTTTGGATTGGGCTGGGCTAAACGTGGAGCCAAGGTCCATCTCTGCTGTAAGGAGGAGAAAGAAGCAGAAATAGCGGCCTATTGTAGCAACCAGCACTGATGAAAGATGTCACTGCGAAAGAGTGGTTTGATATTTATGGGCACGTACAGCAATCTACTAATGCCTGCTATCAGTTGAAATAAGCATGCATTACTTAATGAACTTACCAGCCTGCGGATCTCCCTCTCGCATTCCCGCTTTATTCTATTAATCTCATCCTGATGGGACTGATAAGCCATGCGCAGGTCAGCAGCCTTCATTTTATCTGCCTGCATAATGTTGTTCAAAGCTTCTTCAAGCTGCTTTTTGCCAGATTTCAGCTCCAAGATCTCCTGTTGCAGCTTCATCCGTTCACCGTCAAACGCCTTGCGAGCCTCCTCCTTTGCTTCACTCAGCAGCGCCGTCTTCACTTTGTCAGCCGCCCCGTCCCGCAGAACATTGACTGTCGACTGCAAACGCTGGATTTCTCCATCTTTAATTTTCACCATTCTCGCTACCTCCTGCTCGTGCTGCCGGATCAGTAGCTCTCTGACACTCTGAAGTTCCTTCATTTTCTCCTCGTGGAGCTTGGCTTTCAGCTCAGAAACATAGGCGGTGTGCTTGTGCTGCTCCTGCTCCCTTTCCTGCTTAACCTCTTGGATTTTCTCTCTCAATTTACCCACCTGGAACATCAACATAAATATTGATTAACAAGTGCTACCACACCAAGAGAGCCTTTTCTTAAACATTATTAAAAACCTCATCCTGAACGTTCAAAAGCAAAGACTGCACACCTGACACCTCTCTCTCCAGTAAACAACTGGAGAACCAGGGCTAGAAAAAGGCCATTTGTGTGCAGGAATATGCCATGGGGATGTGCTGTTCTCACAGGTTTAGGGAATGAAATAAAACCACGCAGCATCCAATCTAGTTCTTTCCTTATCTCCTCCACCAACCGTCTCAGACTACTCTCATCCGTAACTGTGCTCTACAAGCAGATGGAAAACAAACGAAACAGAGAGAAAAGAGTTTGTGTTTATGTTGGGAAATAAATGCTAGAAGACTGTCTAGTATTTGAAGAACCATACTTCACGGATGCTCATAGTGACTTAGATTTTCACATATATTCAGTTAATTTATTCCCACAACATCCTTCTGTAGCTAAGCAGTACTATGGCTGTTTTACAGATGGGATGCTCAGACAGACATAGATTGATTTCCCTAATTTACACACATACTGTCTTTGGTATTTGAATCCCAAATTACTAGACCCATATCCACTACTTGACCTAAAGGACTTCCTGCTATCAGATGAGAAAGGATCTTGCCTTGAAAGAACAGAGACAAGAGATTCTATCAACAAAGGGGTGTTCTTATGAGTAGGAACATGGGGAAGAAAAAAACCTAAATTAAAGGGGAGAGGAAGGAGAGAAAAAATACATTGATTTTGGATTTCTTAATTTGTTATCTACTTTAATGGGAAAGTCCTTATAAATCAAAAGAATTGGTCTTCTGAGAAATCAAGTCTACTTAAGGGGCTTCAGACAGGACATCCCAAAACTGGGGCTATTAGCAGTCCCCAGACCCATCAGAAAATATAGGCCAGTGACTCTAAAGGTTGTGGGAGGAGCAGGGGAAAGGTCTTACAGCCGATTAGAGCAATACCCAGTGTGATGAAACCTCATTATAAAATGATGCTCAGCAGACTGTATAGAAAGCAATGCTTTTTCCAAGTGGGATTAGATATTAATTTAGAAGAAAGAAAAAAAAAAAGAAGGGGAAAAAAAGGAGAAAGACTTGCTTCTCTATTATAGTATATCAGAAAGGCTATAATGTATTTCATCATGCATAATGTCAGTAACATCTTTCTACTGTCCCTATCACAGCAACTGCCAAAATACGGGCTCTACACACGTACTTCTCATCTAAAGCAAACTCAGAGGCAGAGATTTCAAAACCTTGTGTTTTAACCTTGAGTGGCAATACAATCATACATACCAAACAGTGCTTCATGGTAAAAGGAGGCTACCAAGCAGCAGGATGGTAGCGGTCACTGTCACAGTACTCCTAGACTGCTTGCATCTGTGCTAGACAAAGCTGGGGTCTGTAGTATTACAGAGCATTTCATTTATGCTAAACTAAGCCAGAAATGCAACTTGCCTCAGATTAGTGCAGAAAGGAGGGGAGATCTCTATTAATATTCAGATTATCATTTACTATGAAGGTATAATTAAAACAAATTATTTTTTGCATTGTTCTAAATTCTATGGGGGTGGGGGTGGGGGGGGAAGGTAAAGGGTTAATTAAAAGCAATAATACTAGTTCAGGAAAGGCCCAGAAACATTCATTATTTTGTTTATTGAAAGCAGATTGATTCTAAACAGGCACTTTGGGGGTTTTGCTTTAGGAAAAACAGGACATCTTAACTCAAAAGCCTTAGATATAACTCATCTAACGAATCTAAGATAACAACTTAAGAGTGCCCATTAAACGAGACCAACATGTTACACAAACCCACAGCACTGACAGTAGATTTCCCGAGTCTGAACTTCACCTGAAGTCTTCAGACAGCAGGGACGGGAGACTTTCCCTGTGCAGAACATGTTATGATCCTGTTATTTTCAACAGAGAATTAACCAACTCAAACTTACCCTAGATTTTAAAAAATAAAGTAAAATAAAATGAATACAGAGGGAGGAAAGGTATCTACATTTTCATGAAAGTAATCTTTTAGATACAATATGGACTAAACACCAGCTGGGAGAGCACTATAATTACAGCTCTGAATCAGACACCATAAGAAGCAGATTTTATTGCACAGATACTGTTACTCAATTCCAAGATGATTCAGATGACATATCTTTATGAAGAAAGATGGATCTATTTATTTATTTTTCTCACAAAAGGGTAACTCAGGCTATTGGAAATAAACTGCAGGAGACATCCATGTGTTATTTCTTCTGGTGAGATAACATTTAGTTCCAAGTCTATAGCAGATAGCGCTGATTTTCAGTGCTTGCATTAGGGTACCCAATTCCATAGGAAAGTTTGAGTCTCCTGTCCGTGCCCATAGCAGGGGGGTTGGAACTAGATGATCTTTAAAGGTCTCTTCCAACCCAAACCATTCTATGATGCTATAACAAAGCTAAGCCACTTATTTTGTATCACAAGTGGATGAGTTTATACATCACTTGCAAACAAACCAACACTCATTATTTACTTAAATCTATTAGTTATTTCCTTACTGATGAGCAAATAAAATTGAAATGAAACTGAGCAATGAACCTAGTAATGATGACACAGGAAAACAAATTGTATAATAATAAACAGCTTTAATACACCTCCAGAACTATAGCAATTTAAAATTAGTAATCTTGTACATGAAACATGCAACTGAAAGACAGTTTTCAATATAATACATTAATGAATGTGACTTCCTAAAAACATTTTTAATATACAAGAAACAGATCCTGAATTTTTGGAGGAGTACTGAGTTACATAAAATGTCATGCTTGCTCAATTTTTTTTTTTTGTATTTCACTGAACTGAGTGAAGGCAAAAATCTACTATATGCATTGTTGCTGTTTGTGAGAACACATACTAAACCACTCAGAGTAACTAAATATTATCATATATCACTAGTCATTTTACTTATAAAGCTTCAGCAAGAGCAATGTAAACAAGAAGAAGAAAAAACCTAAAACCCCTGGATTTTTACACTGCATCTTAAATGCCTATCACTCCTCATGACCCAGTAAAAAAGATGCATCCTAATTCTCCAGGTCTTTAAAAAGTCCTTTCTTGTTACTCCATCTTCTCTGACAAGAAGCAAAGTTAGATCTGTCTACTAGCTCTTCCCTGACAGCCATAAGCTGTCCTTCCCGTGCTCCCTCCGTCCTTCTCTTTCGCACACTACGCGGATCTGTACACGTCTGGCTTCCAGATCAAGTGACTGAATGAAAATAGTAGTGTGGCATTTTCCCATATGCCTAAGACTCAGTTTCAAAATGAACTTAAACTTTAAAGCAATTTGTCTTTTTTTTTTTTCCATTTTCTAGGACTTTTTTTTTTTTTAATGAAGAAAGCTGTTCTGTTCATAGGCAGAGCATGAAATTTAAGCAAGAAATTAAGCCAATAGGGAAACAAAGTCAGGCAGGACATCAGGGCACCAATAAAACAAGTATTTTCTGCCTTTCTAAATTAAATCTTGAAGAATTGGTGCACATTGATACAACACTGTTGCCAAAGCAGAAAATTTCTTGGAAAATTAATGCCAAACATCATCGCTTCTTCCCTTTATGTCTGAACAGTGTCTGGAAGAAGGATTTTCTTTAAAACAATACAATTATATTACCATAGAATATGTGCATCTGGTAGTGTTTTCTTTGACAAGGTACTTTGCACACTTGAGACAGAAATATAATAGCTCACTTTTATGAACTGGAGTCAATGACATAATTTTAAAATTATGCGTTTCTAAAAGGCAATAACCTATTAACCCATATATGTTTCCGAGTGCTACTGAACCACTGCCCCGATAAAAATGTTATGATAAGAACTTATTAAGGACTACCCCTTTTTTTCTTTTTTCCTCTTGGATTTAAATGCAGATGTTTTTATTCATGGCACAACAGGCAATCAAAGACTTGGGGAGCCGGAGAGCTATTCTCCACACAGCTTTTTGCCAGGAACTCAGGTTATGGCAGGCAATCTATTCCCAACTGTGAAGAAGGCAGGTTACCAGGGGTGAGGCCAACAAGCAAAGATGCTACTGTTTACTTTAAAATCAAATGCAGTAGCAATTTTCCTTCAAAAAGGATAAATAATTCTGTATGCTTTGCTCTTCTAAAAAATATGTAAACTATGCTCCTATTTAAGCATACTTATAGCGTAATCTAGTGTCAACAGCATCCTCTCTACTACAATTTCAGAGCGCACTGGATCATGCCATTAAAAATTATCCACTTATGTCCACAGCGGTCTTTCCTAAGCAACCAGAGATGTTGCCATAAAAAAGGCAGTCCTAATGATAGCCCCATTTTTAGCAAAATAATAGCCAAATATTGAGGGGAGGGGGAGAATATTTGTAATAGCAACCCAAGATACAAGGCACTTGTCATGATTTGCAGAGATTTTATCTTCTCCAACAACTAAGAACAAACTCTTGAAGTTTTTTGTTTGGTTGGTTTTGGGGTGGTTTGTTTCTGTTAAGTAACAAGTTTCTTTTCCTGACAAAGTTCACTATTCGCCTACCTCTCTTCAAATCACCCTGGCCTCATGGATTACAAAACAACTTTTAACACTTCCACGATGCTTCCTGCAATGCAATTCCAAATTCAAAAGCTCAGTTACACCGTAGGTTACACAGCACAATGAAAAGCACATACTGGGAAGAAAATCTTGTATCTTTTCATAATGACTTTGGAAACACTACACTAAAGAAATTTACCTTTTAAATATTTGCAAGCTTCAAAGGAAAGAAAGAAGAAAGAAGAGGTACATGTTTACGGGTCTTCCATTTAAAATTATTACTGTATGTACACTAGCTTTAAAAAAAAAAACTTGAACTGTACTTAGATAACTTGTGTTTAGAGTTAGGGAATACAGAGTCATAGAATAGGTGAGGTTGGAAAGAATCCCCAGAGGTCATCTAGTCCAGTCCTGATCAAAGCAGAGTCAACCAGAGCAAGATACTCTAGACAACATCCAGTTAGATTTTTTAATATCTCCAAGGACATGGCCTTCACAATCTGCCTGAGCAACTTGTTACAGTGTTCAATTACCTCACAATAAAAAAAAACCCCCACAAAAAAACCCCACCTTATATTTAAATGGTGTTTGTTGTATCTCAGTTTATGCCCACTGCCTCCTGTCCTTTCACTGAGCACCAGAGTGACTGAGCCCATCTTTATTTCCCCCATTAGGTATTGATACACACTGATAATGTCCTCCCAAGCCTTCTGTTTTCCAGCCTAAACAGTCCCAGCTCTCTCAGCCTTTCCTCGTACACCAGGTGCTCCAAGCCATTCACCATTTCCATAGCCCTTCACCAGGTTTGACCCAGTCTGTCCCTCTCTCTCTCGCACTGGGGATCCCAGCACTGGCCCCAGCACTCCAGGTGTGTCCTCGAGCAGATGGGAAGCATCACGTCCCTCCACCTGCCCCCAAGACTCTTCCCAGTGCCGCCCAGGATACCGTCAGCTTTCCTTGCCGCAAGAGCGCATTGTTGACTCATATTCAAATACATTTTTTCATTACTGCAAACACACGTTGAGCAGATTTGTCCACTCTAGTTTAACACCACAGGGATTCTCCCATCACCAGAAAGGTTCCCCAATACTTTTTTTGCATTCAAAAGCAGGGTCACATAGTCTAATATGAACTGGTATTTAAAGAGAAAGAACATATTCAGCAGCAATTTTTTACGCTTCTCCTAAAAATCTGAATTTACCTTGCTTTTTTTAAAATTAAAGCAAACTTCTAACTGCAAGTAAAAGGACAAGAAATAAAAAAAAGCTGGTAAATTATCTGTCATACTGTGTGACTAAATATAGCTTCACTGAATTGCAGCAACATCGACAGCAGTATCTTGAAAAAATTCTTCTCTGCAACAGAGTTGAGCAGTCTTATTTCGGAAAGCGTGTAGAAAAGAACCATTTTAAAATACAGACCTCATTTCCAGTGACATGACAAGGGACAAAATAAGAAAATCAGTAAAAGTAATAATCTCTTTCAGGTATGTCCTTGTACACACAAATCCAACAGTAACCAGTGCAGCTTAAGCCTGCTCCAACCACTATCATTTGAAGAATTTCAACAAAATTAAATAGGAATGCATTTTTCTGGGTCTGATGTTGAATATTCCTGAGTACCTCCCGCAAAGTGCTCTGAAACATCACTTCTCCAGGGTAACACAAGATTTCATTGCTCCATATTCAGAACCAACTCAATTTACTCTAAATTAGACAGGGAAACACTGGTATTACTCTTGAGAGTTTATGTTGAAAGAAGTGGTAATGCTTGAGGCAAGAAAGACTACAGTAGATGTGGTGCCTTGATTTTTTATTTATTCTCAAATAAATCTGGGAAAAGCATGAGAACTTACAAAAACAAACTATAAAATCGTGAGGTAGTACAGAGGCAACTGACTTGAAGTATCTCATTTATCCTAACTCCTAGATGCGTTGTGATCTCAACTCTATAAATGTACAGTCACAAGCAGATTATGGATATTTAAAAGCCATAGCAGAACTCAGTTAACATGTAGCAACGGTGAAAGCAAACAATATACTACCTTGTTATCAAGAACAGAATAGCTAACCATCTTAGTAGGAATACGTACTTTGTAATATATGCTCCAAAATATTCATAGAGCTCATCAAAGGCACTTAGAAAGCTGATTCACACTTTCCTGACTGACTACCAAGACCATGCTCACTCACTGAGGCTCCTTGTGCTTACTGCACTAGAATGAGCTTCAGTTGGAGCGAGTCCTTCCTCCATTCATATTACAGTAAGTATAATTTTTATGTTTCAGTCAACTCTTTGTTACTTGATACCCAAATATTGGGCATCTTCCAGCCAAACATTTCCACTAGCAGAGAGAGGGCAGTATGCGAGCCCGTGTCCAGTTCATGCATTCCCTTCTACAGGCTCTCCATAGATGGCAGCAAACTTACAATCCCAGGAGGACACGCTACACATCAACGGGCTGCCCAAGCACATCAAACAAGTGTTCCCAAAACAAAAGACAGTAAAAGGGAACTAAGGCAGGGCCACAACTTTTGCTTCAGCCCTTTGACAACATCATTGAATCCAGCTGCTTGTACACCAGAGGCCCAAAACACCACCAGCAAGATACCAGCAAGAACTGCAAACATATCGAGGTTGGGTCAGGTATTGCATAAGCATGGAGGGGAACAATATTACAGAAGAAATTTCTTTAAATGTTGTTTCATTTCTTGTTGAGCCATTAACTGGGAAAATATGCACAAAGTTTTGGATGTCTCTTGCGTAAAATTTTATTTCAGAGAAACCAGTATTTTACAGGCAGAAGCATGTTAAGACTAACTTCCATTTGTGATGTCTCTCATCAATTAGAAGGTTCTTCCTCAGATAAATAGTTAATATAGGCATATACGTGAGGGACAAAATAGTTTAGGAGAATTAAATTAAATTAATTGGCCCCACAAGAGTTCGTTGCCTTTCCTAATGCAGTTTACGTCCCACAGACCTGTCTCACTATCAGCTTCAATACATCCCCTCTTACCTCTGTGCCATCTAATTTATTTAGCATTCTCTAAGCACAGTGTTTTGACTTTTCTGACAATAAGCTGTAATTTCTTTTGGTTTTGTTACTCATTTTTAAGCTACAATCTAAAGAGGAAAAATCTCTACAGCTTTAGTTTACTCATTTTGTCAGTCAAGGCATCCTATGTAACTGCTGCCCAGACACAGAGCAGGCTGTTGCCCTGATGGGTGGAAATAAACTACAGGGCTCAATTCTGCTTAAATGATTTAAAGCAAACACCACAGCAAAGATGTGGTGAAGAGGATGAAGACGTCTTCCCCACCATCCTCCCAGAAATGCACTCCAACATGCTGCAGAATTTGCTACAGACTGCAGTGTATATTTAGTAGGATTTTAGAGCACTCTGGCTGTAATTTCCTCTTTCATATTCACCTACACATTATGTATGTGAGCCCACTCATTTCTCTGCACATGTACAATACACAGACGTGTCTCCTATAACAACCTCAATACTCCAGAAAATAGGAAATTCTCAAACTGGAAAAAGATGAACAGGTAACCAAACTGAAGCAACTCCTACCAGACTGCATATAGGTAAATAAGCAGACTAGTTATGGAAATTGTTCCTACAGCTGCCATGGTCTTGTAGCTACATTTTATTCTTAACTGAATCAGAGTTAAACTTGACACTATTACAGGTAAAGCATCAAACTTGGAAGCATATCAGTGCTAAACTCTTCCTAGGGTTCATGTAATATTTTTGTAGATTTTCTTTTAGAATCTGAGTAATTTAAACACTCAAAACTAATTCATTCTTCTGTCCAAGGTACAAGATAACTGTATAACTAAATGCTCTTTTAAATGCAATTAAAAGATGAAAATAAAATTCATATCTGCATGCCTACATAAAAAGTGATACAGAACAAAATAGGAAATAAAACAAAATAACTAAAAAGAAACATTCATGTTCAAATTTTACACCAATATAAAGAAGCAAGGCTAGAACAAAGCTATGTTATATAAAGTGAACACATTTTCAGTACATAGTTATTCCAGTGGCAAGTCCTTGAGACTCCTGCAACTACAGTATCACCAAATGCACACAGATAAATCCATCTCCACATGGATTCGTCTCCAGGACTGTCTTGTCCAAAGTCAAATGCACTAACAGAATAGAAATAACCTCATTGGCTTGTCTATATTTTGAACAGCTACAGAGATACAGGTTGCCCAGAGAGGTTGTGGATGCCCCCTCCCTGAAAGTGTTGAAGGCCAGGTTGGATGGGGCTTTGGGCAACCTGGTCTAGTGGAGGGTGTCCCTGGCCATGACAGGGGGGTTGGAACTAGATGGTCTTTGAGGTCCTTTCTAACCCAAACAATTCCATGATTCTAGCATTTACTTTTATATAACATAGAATCATAATCTTTATAAATATATATGTACTTCATGAATGAACAATTTCTCCTGAGTGTTCTCTTGATTACTCAAATACCTGTTGAACACATGCGAGATAGGTCTATCAATATTTGTCTGTTTCATTCGCAATCGGATGCATCATTGAACAGCTCAGAGCAATGGCACACAACCTCAGCAAATCAAATCCCAACACCTACACAGCTGATTTCCATTTAATTTACATTCTCCATAGGCATTTAAAGTGACATGCTTTGAATATGGTGCTGATGTTTGAAGACACTTCTTTTTACAACCTACAGTTTTCAGTGCAGATCAAATACAAAACTCCCTTGTTGCCTTTAAGTCATTCTAAGCTAATGCAATTTGTATTGCTGTGACTGCAAATTTCAGTAACTGGATGTTTGGGGGTATTTACTTCCTTTTGCACATTATATAAAATAGCTGGCACCAATTTCAGTTCATCAGTGGTTCTTCTGATTTCACTTTGTCACATTTTTTTTTTCTTTTAAGGCTAATGCATTTTAGTAGTGGATTACTTTGAGATTCAAGCTCTGCCAGTTTCTAGCAGTGCTACCGATAAAAAAAATGACCACAAAATATAGACAGACAAATACCTTGCTTTTTTCTTGCTGAAATTCTATCTGGATGTTGGTTAGTTTAGTTCGTAGCTCCTCATTAGCAGCTTGCAGGGTTTCAATCTCCATGTCGGACTTCTCTCCCTTGGCACGACTTTTCTTTGACATAATTATTTTTGAAGTTTAAAATAAAATTTTTGCTCCACACTGAGCCACCAGCTAGTGCCTTCTGCTTTTAGCATTTAAGAGTCACACAGTGTTCAACAAAATCTTTCACACAAATCTGTGCCATCATGGGAGCAGTCTCTCATGTCCTGGAAGAAACAAAGTAGTGGGAAAAGAATTAGGCTACAGCGTTGAGCAGAATCAAACATCAGACTTAACACCCAGTTTTAAAGCACACTGAACTTCCTTGTCGTATATACTATATTGCATAGTGTACTAGACTTTGAAAGAAATAGATCAGAAAAGAAGAAGTTACACAATATTTCATCATCTTATCTAAACCCTATCCACTGTAATCTGATGTCCGTGGAAATAAAACTCTTTACAGTTATGATGAATATAGCATATAAACAGAAATCATATCTTATTCAAGACCTGACTTGGTCCATGCTCAGGATTCCCAAGAGGCACAGGGACAACCATAAATTAGCTGAGATTGGTGGTGTTTCAGTGGGAATAGTTTATTTCCTGTAGTAAGAAGGAAGCACATCTCACCGTAATGTATATAATTCATAATTGTATTTTTCATAATTACCAAGTTTCATAGCATCAAGATATATGGAAAAGGTATCACAAAACTGGAAAAACATTTTAAAATTACTTCTTTAAAATATCATATACTGCTTATGTTCAGGGTTGATATTATTTGAAATGCTGTAATCAAAACATGATGGTATTTAACGTCATTTTCATTCCCGAGCATGCTTCTAAGCTTAAAAAGTATTCAAGTATTTAAATCAGCTTTATGTAATACTCAAGGAGAATATTAGACAAAGAACCCCAATAATTCCTAATTATTTCCAATAATTAGGAAATCCCACAATCAGTTTGCTTCATGAGTAGTTATAGAAGGTTAATCTGTGGCTTTTTCTCCCTCTTTGCTCTCCTCTAAGAATAACCTGGTGCTGCGCAAGAACAAATTGAGCAATAAGTGTTATCAATGCCGAATCAGTTTCAAACTCACATCCTCTGCTTGTTTTAGATATTCATATGATTTTCATCACTAAATTGCCAACAGAGTGTTTCCTACTTTAATACTGAACTACATTCCTGGAGTATTACATTTCCAAGAAAATTGTTACCAAATTGCCTTCAAACCATAAGTTGCTCTTTTCCAATCTACTTTTGCCTCGGAGTTATTTTAGAAATTGTATAAGAATGAAAATCACATGCATTCTTTAGCATGTAGTTTCTAAAGGGTTAACAACTAATACCTCAGGTGTGTGCAGACACACACCATTTGGTGAGTTCAAGTCAATACGTATTAAGTTTTATTCTCCTCTTTAAGGTCTGGTAAACAGAAACCAAGGAGTTAAATATCTTGCTCAGAACGACAAGCCAAATCAGATGAAATATAAACAGAACTCAGGATATCAAGTCTCAGTCGGTTTGAAAATATGCCCACAGAGTTCTTTCATTTGTAAAAAGCAATTGAAAAAAGACCAACTATACCAATTATTTGCTGAAGTAACTTCAGTGAAATCATTGTTTTGCTTTGTAGTATCAGATGTCTTTCCTTCCAAATTTAATAATCTATTGGTTTATCCTATGCAATAAAATTTAATCTGTTCCTTAAATTCATTATAGTGAGCTTTTTTAATATATAATTTGGGAAAACCAGGAAGTTAAATAAAATTAAAATTTAATTTATGTATCAAACCTACCTTACAAACACTGGTGCTACTGTAATTTTACACATAATTGTTGATTCAAGAAAACTAGATTAGCAATATTCTTACAGTAACTTGAAACAAAGAACTCTTCAGTGAGTAGAGGAAACTTGAGGAATTATTATTCTTAATAAAAGAATTTTGCTATTACCATGGAGATTCTGTTATGCTAAAGACTAAAACTAGAGACTATTTAATTAATATATTTCATCCAAAATCCTTAACTGTATGGAAAATTTGAATTCAAAATTGGTTGCTAGTGTTATTTCCCTGGTCAATTTGTAAAGAAAAATCTAAAATAACATAAATGTGCAAATCCAATCTATAATAATTCCACAATGTTTACAATGGTGGAAGGGGAAATGAATTGTTCCTTATCTCAAAGGCTATCTGGGGTATTCAGATACTCTCAAAAAATTATTCCTGAAATCCTTACTAAAACAAAATTCCTGATGCAGCCAGATTACTTATAATTTAATTTAGTAGATGATTAGCTAAGTTAAGGAAACCAAAACCATCCCTCACTGGCCTGACTACATGAATTTTAACCTCATTAGATCCTCTCCGACATCCATCTCAATTACAGTTTGGAATAAAGAACATTTAAGTGATAGACATGTTTGCTTCTCCATCAGTAAAATGAGAAAGTGAGGTAACTGTGCTTGATGTGGATATACATGACATCCAGAGAAGTGAAAAAGAGATCTGAAATGTGGAGTGTTTTAAAGTTACCATGTATATTTTGTTCAGTAACAATAATCTCTCCTGACCATACCATGTTCCCAAGGATATTATGAAGATACTAGACTATTCAATATGAACATCTAAACTTATATTTATGCACTTCAGGGGATGGCTGCCTTTGAAGTCCTGGTCATGTAAAACTCTCAATGACTGCAGAGTTCATAGTCTATCCCAGAGTCACCGTCACTCAAACCCTTTAACAAATCAAGTCCTACTGTAAGGGACCAGAATAATGCTGAGGTCTACCATTGAAAATGTGGGGGTCTAAATATAATATGCTTTATTTAAAGCTGTTCAAGTTACATTTAGCACTTATATTAGCCTTAAAGAGTTCAGCACTGCTCTTTGAAGTACTCTTTAGAATTTAAAAAAAATGGGAATCTCAAAACATTGTTCTCAATCCTTTTCCTGTAATATGCAACAGTTAAAAATTGTACCTTTCAGGTAAAACAAAAGCTTAGACCCAGAACTGAAGAAAACAATTGTCCTTTCTTATAGGCATTCATAAAAAAACCCAAACCAACCAACCAACCAAGACCACCACCACAACCCAAAACAACCCATCAACCTGTGTTAGTGGACATAGAAACATTTCCATTTTGACTCTTCCCTAGATACACGTTCCAGCCTATCTATTTCAAAAGCAGGAACTATGGCAACACAAAGCCTCTCTATACACTGAGAGGCACAAAGCCCAGACACACAAGGGCTACAGAAGAAGAGCATGCATCTTGATTCCCAAACGAAAGGGTTAGAACCATTGAGTGCCTAGATTTCCTTCTGGTTGACTACCCACATTTACTGTTTGGATAAAGGTCAGGATAAAAAAAAAACAAAAACTTGTAACCACACTGTGAAAAAAGAAGAAAAAAATACTCTATTCTGAAAAAAATTGAGTTTACTGACTCAGAAGCTTCAACGAATAACCTATTTATTAGTTCACCATATGTCAAGTTGAGAGGCAAGTTCACGAAGCCACCAGAATACAGTCCCACAATCACTCCATGACTAAAAATAGTCACTTCCTGTGCTGTGAGTTCTATGCACTTATTGCAAACCTTTAAGTTATTTGAATATATTTTATATTTCACAAAAAGAAAAAGGATAGGGAAGAGGAATGGATTCTAAATCACAAGTCACCTTTTCAGCAGTCTCTGGAACGTATCAAATGCCTCGCTGTACTTGATAGGTATAGAGGCACTTGTAATTGAAGAAAGAGTAACAACAAGAGAAATAAACTTGATTGGATTTGAGCCCACTGTTCGGGGGATTGGTATTTGAGAGATCAAAATATTCAAAATGATTAGCATATTAATACTCCATGTGTGTTAGACATTTTAGGAAACCTATTAAATTTCTAAGGTACCTGGGAAAACCAATCAGCTGAACAGTGTTCCAATAATAACTTCCAATTTCTCTTCTCTTTGCTTTACAGATTTAAAGGATGTACTTTATCACTACCTCAATCTCTTCCCTGGTTCTAGCAAGAAAGTCCTAAAACTAAGTCATGAATTGCTATACAATGTTTCTAGATATTAAATATCAATAAAACATAACAGTAAAAAAAGAAAAACTTAGTGCAAAAAGCGTGAAAGTAGCATCAAAGACTTTCCATTACTTAAGAGTAAGAAAAGAAGGAACTTACTATTTTCTAGTGAAAAATAACTCAATTGAAAGAAATGCAAATCTTTAAACATGATTATGTACTGAATACACAAAAATAAGTGGAGAGCTATATGCTTAGAGAGTGAGCCTTACAGTAATAAACAGTAATCAAGAGGAAGAGTAAGTACACTCATAAACTCAAGTAATAAATATGGAAAAAATAACATCATAACAATAAAAAATTAGTAAATGTTGTCATTGGAAATTCAGCATTCCAGTCTCGATTCAGACTTGAACAACATTATTCAGCTTCAACATGATTTTTGGAAGTTGTTAATGAATCATCTCAGCTGAAACACCAAGCAAAACCACAGGTATTGGGGGGGGTGGGGTGGCAGGGGGAACAAAACACGAAACCCCCACAAAACCACTTCATCTAGCCACTTTGCCCCTGCATAAATAGCATTTTTTCATTTTACATCAACTTTTCTCCTGTAATACTGCAGAGCCTACTACTGGGCTACCCATAACCCTTATTATGCTTGTGAACGTGAGATGTAAGTACGTTCTTAGTGCAGCACAATTCTGAATATTCAAGAAGTTTATAAAATAAATTTTATTACCCTAACACCTGACAATAGCAGTGGACACAGGTACAACGTCAACTTCAGAAGTAACTGCCAGTTCACCTCCGTTACAGTTTAAAGCCCAGCCGTAATCAAACAGTTCCTGTACGGGAAAGACAGCATTCATAGCTCCCAATGCCCAAGGCGCATTTCTCACAAGGTTTGGATGACCTACATTTCCTGCTTCAATTCTCAGTTCTATGTAATAAAATGTGACTGAATAGATAAAAGTAAAAGCATCTCTTCAGGATGTAAAATAATACTTTTCCCAGCCAAAAAAATAAAAATACAAATTATC